CCATGACAACGAGACCAAGTCTGTCGAAAGTCGTCAGGTCTATTTCAAAAACTTGTGGCGGTTATGGACGGTTTTACATACAGATGTTAACACACATACACACTCGAGTTTAAATGATTTGCTCAAACCTTTATGTATCCATCTATATCTAACTTTCTCTCGCTCTGAGTATATATATCATATATAAAAGAGCCGGTCGGTTTTCTCGACGTACTGGTTACTTGAGTACCAGATCTGACGATGTTCGTCGTGTTGAGATTGACCCACGAATCTCTTTACCATGAACTTTTATAGGAAATGAAAGTATTCACAACAATCTTATCTCAGGATATGCATAATAATTCGCGTTTTCTTCCCATATACAATGATTCTGTCAACTTTTTCCATTAATTTTGCAATATAAAATTCCATTTTGTTGCGTTAGTCTGCTTCTGCCAATTCGCAACTTTGCCAATGCCAATTGATGCTTTAGGCTTAGAGAGTAGCGAGAAATTTCTGCTCAACTACGACAACAATCCTCTCCATGCATACTAATATTTACAAAGCTCATTGTTAGTTTCTCCATGCCCGTCTTTATTTAACGCTATTTTCAGGTATGCCTATGATCATTGTTGTCATGTCACATGGCCAGCGTTGCTCCTTAATCTCTTTAATCCTGGAAAGGAACTTAATTCTTTTTGAGTAAACTGCTAGAGACTAGGGTCAAATTAAGTCAACTTTTGAAGGAATGCTAGAGACACATGCTCTCCGAATAGCATCCATTCTGGCATATTAAGAAGGTCCTTTCAGAAGGATTAGACTATACTTGGCATCTGAGCGTGAAAGGGTGAATAAGTTTTGTGACTGTATGATTGGTATGGGGCAACATTTGATAGCGAATTTCGTGAAACTATAGTCTTGAATATACATTTTATATTTATAACCGCAATTGAGGATCTGATTGTGCTACATGAATAAAGGGACTGGACTGCATTTGCATTTCGAATTCAGCCGTACCGAGTCCTTATTTGCTCTCCGCTGAATCAAAAAGATACATTTAGACAAGTGCTATAATCGGAATTTCTTGGAAAACCGTGAAGCCGATTTATATCTCGAGTTCATTAATTAATAGACTACTTAATTCCCATCTTCTTTTATATTTGTGTGTGTGTGTGTTGTTGTTGTGCCCACGTCTCTCTTATGTCACAGGCCAATCCGCCCTACCAGGATCGTGTGGAGGATCTGTGCCAAATGAGCTTCTTAAACGAGTCGAGCATGGTGCACACGATCAGCCAACGCTTCGGATCAAACCTGATCTACACCTACGCCGGACCTCACTGCCTACTGGCCGTCAATCCGATGCAATCGCTGAACATCTTTTCAGACATGGTGAGTCACCTTGCCAGAGGAAAACAGCTAAATTAGCTGACTGGGCCCTAAAAATCGGATTATGCCATTATGTTAGCCTTTTGGTATGACAATCATCTTGTTTGGAAAATCGGATTGAAGGTATTCGTGACTTGGCTTCACCGGACACCGAAGGAAGATGGCCTTGGACTGGTGACGCCTGGATTGTGCAAAGAAGAAAAAAGACATTTAGTGTTTTTTGGTCAATTTTATTAAATGATGATATTTGGACCGACGATGTCCGTCACATGACAGAGTAAGGCTCAACATGGATCTAGCGAAGTTGCGCTATGGTAAGCCGAGGATGCTTCTGTTTGACCCTCTGGCTTCTCGTGTCGAAAGGGTAACCAAGCCATTATTTGTATTGGATCTTGAACAAATTGCAACTATTCATGTAGCTCATAATTACAAAATATATTTTACTTTCTCTTTAATTGTTTTTTTCTTTTTATAACGGTAATATTTCTTTATATAGTTTGTTATTTTCGAGTTGCTGAACTAATTACTTTCAGAGTTATGCTTATGAATTTAAGCGTACTTCCATTTCGAGTGAAAGTGTTGGGTGAAGAGATTCGAAGCTCGGTTCCGCCAGAAGACGACGGCGGAGTCCTCTTGACCAGCTGTCGATTGGCTTTACTGGAAGATTCATGCTGACGCTGTTTCCGAGGCAATCTCTTTGATTCCGGTGAAAAGGTGCTAAGCTTTGGTCCGTCAAATGACGAACATCATCAGAGCAACGTATCATCGTCACAACCAAATTTGAGCTAACGAGTCAAGAAAGCTCACCGGCTTGAATTTAGTTGTGAAGATGATACTTTGCTCTGATGATGTTCGTCATTTGCCGGACGAAAACTTAGCACCTTTTCACCGAAGTCGAAAGTGATTACCTCGGAAACAGCGTCACCGTGAATGTTCCAGTAAAGCTGATCGACAGCTGGTCAAGAGGAATCCGACGTCGTCTTCTGGTGGAACGGACCGAATCTATTCACCCAACACTTTCACTCTAAATGGAAGTAAGCTCAACAATTATGAAAAAGGATATTCCTCGAAACCCAACTTTTCTTCGCATATATAAATATAAGAATTTGAATATTTTTAAGGCTATTTTCATTATTACGTTTTTCTTCTATATTAATTGCGGTAATTGAATCTCCCATATGATATTCCTTTGCGGAAAGTATGGAAAGCTCTTGATTTCAGACTTTTGTGTCAGATGAGTATTTGCTATTTATTTCTCTCGCGTATATAAATAATGATTTAGTTGAAGAGGCTGTCTCAGATCATTGTTCAATACCACTTTTAGATGTTTTTCTCTCGTCATTGTCTTTTTTTGTTTCAAAACGTAAACATTTTCTATACAATTTTGAAAAAAATTATTTACGAGCATTGTATTTTGATGTATTGAATGGCATAGCGCACTCTGTGGTGTAATTAATATTGACAATTTTAAAAGGATTTAGTCCTATAATTTTTCATGCTATAGATTATAGAAGTTGTTTGACCTTGTTTTCGCAACTTGCTCATATTGGCAGGAAGACCTAGAGGAAGGCATATTGTCCAAATCCACGGTTAAACTCTGGAAAATTACATGCATTCTATGGACTCAGGACTAGGTGCCTTCCTCTAAGTCTTCCTTCCAATATGACCAAGTTGCGAA